CAGGCAGCATGGAGATGAAAGACCCTGAACCCAAGAACCTATACAATTTTAATCACTTGGTTGGGCTAGCCCATTCTACCCAGGCATGTCAAACCGTGACGTCACCTGATATGCCAGCTTGCAGCTGACCATAACAATAGTCAAAACATGAGGAAAGTCAAGGTGTGTGGCTGTTGATTAGTGGTGTGTATCTAAGAACAATTTGACATGACATTTCACATAAGAAAATATTATGATTACCATTACAGTTAATAATAACAATCACCTCCTGCCTGTAGCCTTTGTCTTATTTAATTAACCTTGGCCTTGATGCAGTCTGCAGAGCTCATGACAATGACTAAACATTTAATAGCCTGAGCTAGACATCCTGGCTACACTAAACATTTCTAGACAACAAATCTCTAAATATCTATCTGACTAAGAAATTACCTAACAACACACATGAGCAATGTTACCACATTGTAACTTATCAAGCTTATTTGCAGGTTGTCAACCTCCCGTCTGTAGGCTGACTCGTCACCGTCTCGGATGAGACCAATGACCGTTGTGTCATCAGCAAACTTTAGGAGCTTGACAGAGGGGTCCTTTGAGATGCAGTTGTTGGTTTAGAGTGAAAACAGCAGACGGGAGAGCACACGTCCCTGGGGGGCACTTGTGCTTATTGTCTGGGTGCTGGATGTGGTTTTCCCCAGCCTCACCTGCTGCTCCCTGTCTGTCAGAAAGCTAGTAATCCACTGACAGGTGGGGGCAGGCACAGTGAGCTGGGTCAGTTTGGAGTGGAGGGTGTCTGGGATGATGGTGTTGAATGTTGAGCTAAAGTCCACAAAGGGGGCCCATGCATAGGTACTTGGGGAGTCGAGGTATTGCAGGATGTAATGCAATACCATGTTAACTGCATCGTCCACTGACCTGTTTGCCCGATAGGCAAACTACAGGGGGTTTAGCAGGGGGGTCTATGATGTCCTTCAGGTGGGCCAACACCAGTCTTTCAAAGGACTTCATAACTACAGATGTCAGGGCCACAGGTCTGTAGTAGTTCAATGGAGGGTTTCTTGGGGACTGGGATGATGGTGGAGTGTTTGAAGCAGGAGGGGACTTCACACAGCTTAAGTGACCTGTTGAAGCTAAGTGTGAAGATGGGGATGTAGCGTGTTCTTCATGAAGAATAATCGGAATCAAATATCAATTTTCAAACATTTATTATCATAACTAAACAGACCATCGAATAAAGCAATTTACAGAGCTCTGGGTTCCATCTCTATCTGAAGCCCTAACCTCAACAGCAAAACCTGTTCAATTCGTCTTCAGGACGAGAAAGAACACCTACCCTCCTGAAACCCAGTTACTTATACAATTTGAAATGTGCAATTGTAGGCTGGTCTGGTGGTCTCGGGTTGCTCCATTGGTCCATCTATCCATCCGTCCCCCTTCTGCATCCTTCCTGCTCCAATGGGAAAGGCAGCTTCCTATAGAGAGAGGAAATCCTACTCTGTCTAAAATTCCTACACTCACCTCTTTGTTTCCAACTAACTAACTACACTCTATAAAACATGGCTTTCCATTTGGCTACTAAACTATCTTGCCTGTGTGTCTGTATATGGCCCTGTCTTTTAAAGTTGTCTTTTCTCTTCCTGGCCTCAGATCTAATCTCTGTTTCTTACCCCTAGTGTCCCAGTGACCCCAAATTCCCTGGCCTCTTCAGCCAGGTGGTGATCATAAAACAACTGTGGACCCTCTTTGCTAGGCTGTAAATCTAATGAGTTCTCAGTGTTTAGTGAATCAGTCTCCCTTGATGTTAAACAGTCCCCAGTTGGCTAACACAGTAAATACTGACCAGTGATTCAATGCAGACTTAAGGTGATATGTAACTACATAAACATAAACACAACTGTGAGAGTAAAATATATAAACTTATGTATGCTCTAAACTAAATCCTAATTATTCATTTTCTTAATATGATAGAATAATCATATGCACACACAGTAAACAAACAAGTTAACTAATCAACAAACATAGTATCAATCTTCTACTAACTAAATTCTTAATTCAGTCTAATATTAAAACTAATCCTAATGTATTATTTTGTTAACAATTTTACTCAACATTCCCCCTTTTGGCCTCTGTTCCCAGAGGCCACCTTACACACATTCCTCTTAATCGCCTTCTAGTTCCTTGAGGGATCTTGAGCTGCAGCACACTGCGTCCAGTGATACCACGTGTCTCCTTTTCCCTCTAATCTCACAACATGTGATGTCCTCTCTGTCACTCGGGACGGTCCCGTCCACCGAGGTTCTGACCATTTCCTTTTGATGACCTTCAACAGGACCCACTCCGCTGTGTAGGGCGGGTTCTGGTTAACCTCTCCTTCTCCTCCTGTCACCTGTTTAGAAAAAGCTGACACAAGACACTGCACTTGATCATAGTATGGTTTATACCTGATCCTCTCTCCAGAGTCCCCCTTTAGATCCAGACTGGCTGTCGGTCCAGGAAACTGGTATCCTGTGCAAAGCTCAAAAGGTGTAAACTTGGTTACAGCATTCACTGAGCTCCTGATAGCCATCAGGGCCATGGGCAGTGCATCTACCCATGTCAATTTTGTGTCAGCACACATCTTTGCTAACTTCATTTTTATCTGCTGATTCATCCTTTCTACTTTCCCCTGTGACTGTGGATGATAGACTGAGCCAAACTTATGTTTCAGCCCTAGTGCTTTTTCTACCTCTTCTAGGTCACGATTTTTAAAATGAGTTCCATTGTCTGATCTAATTTTCCTAGGAAACCCATGTACAGGAATGTACTGATTTATCAGAAATTTAATGACCGATCTTGCATCTTCTTTTTTAGTAGGAACGGCCTCCACCCACCTGGAGAATGAATCCACTACCACAAGCAGATATCTATAGCCTCTAACACTTTTTATCATGTCAGTGTAGTCTATTACTATTTCCTGACCTGGCCCTGGTGGGATGGGGAACACTCCCTCATGTGGCTTGAGTGTGCTCTTTATGTTAAATTCTGTACAAGTTGAGCACTCCTTCACATGTTTTTCTATCATTGCTGGCAAGTAGGGATGCCACCAGTGTGTCAGATGTCTTTTCATCTGTTTGCTCCCACAATGTGTAAGACCATGTGCCTCGCTTATCAGGGTGGGTAACATACTGGGAGGAGCCACGGGCCTTCCGTCCGGAGACCTCCAAAGACCCTCCTCCGTTTTCACTGCTCCTCTTTCAACCCACACTTGTTTGTCTAAAGGAGATGCTTCTTCCTGAGCTTCTATTAACATATTTACATTAATTTCTGGCAACAAGTCATATATTGTTTTCTGTGACTGCACCACCAGAAACTGTCCACTGTATCCTGCCTCTTCTTTTGCTGCCTTATCTGCCATTTGATTCCCTCGTGCTTCCAGCGTGTTCCCAGTTTGATGTCCCTTACACTTTACCACTGCTATCTCTGCTGGTTTTAACAGTGCTTCTGCCAGGAGTTTCATTTCCTTTTCATGCTTGATAGGAGTTCCTGATGCTGTCAAAAACCCTGCTCTGAGCCAAGCTGCTAGTTCATGATGTACTGCATTCGACACATAAGCTGAGTCCGTATATATCGTAACTCTCTTACCCTTTCCATACTCAGCTGCAGCTATCACTGCCAAAAGTTCAGCTCGTTGTGCTGACAACTGACCAGTCAACTTCTCCTTTATCACTTCCTTGAACTCTCCCTGATCATGTTTAACTACAGCCATTGCTGCCTTCAGTCCTTCATCTGGATGTCTGAAACAGCATCCATCAGTAAAGAGTATCTCATCTGCTTCTTCCAGTGGATTTGCACGTAGGTCTACTCTTACCTTCAACTCCTGTGCAGCTTTCTCCTCACACATGTGTAATTCACCATCTCCCACTGCATCTGCCATGTTTACACCCTCATGTGTATAGGTTATGTGTGGCTGAGATAACAATTTCTCTATCCTATTCCTTCTGACTGGAGATAAGGTAAAGGCCGTGGATGTGATGAATGCCATAATACCATGTGTTGTCAAAACTGTGAGTGGATGACACATCACAATGTGTGCAGTTTTTTGTAGTATTTTTGCTAACCCTGCCGCATAACGGCTACACGCTGTTTGTCTAGCTTCAATGGGATCCAGAATAACGCTCACATGTGTTAGCACCTCTCTACTACCCCCTTTTTTCTGAAAAAGAACGCCATGCATAGCATGCGGCCTTTCAGAAACATCCAAGAAGAAAGGAGTTTGATAGTCTGGTATTGCTAGGGAGGTGGCTCTAGCCAGCGCAGCCTTGAGATCGATGAAAGCTTTTTCAGCATCAACTGTCCATTCTAACTTAGCCCCCAGATTTCTCATCCCCTGCTCAGCGGGAAGATGAAAAGCCCCGAACCATAACAGGCCTATACATTATATCACTTTGGGCTAGCCCCATACTACTCAGGAACGCCAAACCGTGACATCTCCGGTGCCAGCTTTGCAGCTGACCATAGCAGTAGTCAAAGCATGAAGAAAATCAATGTGTGATTGTCTGTTGATTGTGTGGTGTGTATCTAAGACATTCTGACATGACATCTAGTGACATGTCATGACATTAAGCATAAGAAAATATTATGATTACGATTATGATTAAACACATCATAATAATAATAAACATTCTGTCTCCTAACAGTAATCAACTTCCTATCTAGTTATCCTTGAACATAAACAACCTGGAGTACCCCATGGGAATGACTAATGTTGGATACCCAGTTCTTTTCACCGTTAACTCTGAGAGACGAGGCAGTCCAAGTAACTTCAAAACAGTGCTGATTTATTCAATGAACACAGGTAAAAATTAACATTACACGCTCAGGAGGCTTTGCACCTCCAACATGCACGCAGGCAGCTGAAAGATGAAAAGCCCTGAACCACAACAGGCCTATACATTATATCACCTCGGGCTAACCCCTTACTACAAGGACGCCAAACCGTGACGTCTCCCGGTGCCAGCTTTGCAGCTGGCCAGAGCAGTAGTCAAAGCATGAAGAAAATCAATGTGTGAATGTCTATTGATTATGTGGTGTGTAGCTAAAACATTCTGATATGACATTAAGCATAAGAAAATATTATGACTACGATTATGGTTCAACATGTCTTTTATTGTTGTGTTATACCCCAGTTCTTTTATTGGACAGATCTGAGTAAGGAAGGAGTCTGTCTTTCTTCATTTTAGTGCTGATTTATTTAAAAACACAAATAAAATTACAAGAGACAACTCGGGTGGCTCCCTCGTTCAGACAAGCTGCTGGAGAAAAGGATTTCCCGGAAACACAGAGCCTAATACATTTATAAGGTTTTGGGCTAATCCCTTACATAGACAGATATAAAAACATCACGAGTTGGAGACAGTCCGGCGTCTCCTTCTCTTATCTAGAGCTCCACAGGCTTGGAGTAGCTGGTCATAACAAAATGAAGAATTCCATGTGTGTGTGTGTTGTTACGTGGTGTGTAACTAAAACATTTATTCAGACATAGTTCTAACACAAGATTAATACAAGAAAACAATCGGTGTCAAGGTATACTTCAGAATCAACATAATTTTCTAACCTTGAAGCAGAGAAAACTAGAGCAGAATTTGAATCTTACTAAACTGCATTACTAACACATTAATGTCTAATAATTATCTGACTGATTATTAATTTCTAACAGTTGTGTAGCAGTGGTCCAGAGTGATTTTGTCCCTGGTGGGACAGGTAACGTGCTGTCTGTATTTGGGCAGTTCTTGGGTGAGATTTGCTTTGTTAAAGTCCCCTAGAACAATGAGTGGAGAGTCGGGATGTTCTACCTTCAGGCTAGTTATCAATTCTGCTAGGAGCTGTAGCGCGTTAGCATTAGCCTGCAGTGTTAAGTACACTCCCATTAGCATGAAACTGTTGAATTCACGGGGAGAGTAAAAGGGTTTGCAACTGATAATAAGAGACGCACGAGTAACCACGGCTCCCATCGCTGTATGCACTGGAAGCTTCTGGGTCTGGAAAAGCTGGTTCTGGTTCAAAACATTTGGGAAAATATGGATTATGTGATGACTGTGGCCCAAATATATTGTGTGGATGTATTCTGAATTCCAGCCTTTTTATGGTGTTGTGTCAAAGAAAATAAATGTCAAATGTATTTTAGGAATTCCTGAGACTCTGATCCTTAACTTTTTCCACCTGGAAATCACATTTGATTACAGTATACTGGACGATTTGTTAAACACTGTATTGTTAGAAATTAATAAATTAGTCAGATAATTATTAGACTTTAATGTGTGTTAGTAATGCAGTTTAGTAAGATTCAAAATCTGCTCCTGTGTGCTCTGCTTCAAAGTTAGAAGATAATGTTGACTCAGAAGGGTACCTTGACACCAGTTGTTTTTGTATTAATCTTGTGTAAGAATTATGTCTGAATGACTGTTTAGTTACACATCATGCATACAACATACACACACACATTGAGCTACCTCATTTTGTTATGACTAGGTAATACGCAGCTGCTCCAAGAATGTGGAGCTCTAGATAAGAGATGGAGTCTGTGGGACAGACTTGATCTGTGTAAGGGGTTAGCCCAAAACTGATAAATGTATTAGGCTCTGTGTTTCCGTGTGCTTTTTTCCCTGCTCTCTTCTCCAGCAGCTTGTCTGAAGGAGGGAGCCCTGGGTTGTGTTCTGTAATACTTTTTATACATATTGTTAGGTTATTTCTTAGTTGGATAGATATTCAGAGATTTGATGTCTAGAAATGTTTAGTGGAGACAGGATGTCTAGCTCAGGCTGTTAACTGCTCAGTTTAATTTCATGTGCTTGCAGACTGCATGTAGGCCAAGGTTGCAGGCAAAGAGAGTTGTTAGTATTAACTGTAATGCTAATCTTAATATTTGTCTTAATGTGAAATGTCATGTCAAATTGTTCTAGATACACACCACAAAACAACAGCCACACACCTTGACTTTTCCTCATGTTTTGACTATCGTTATGGTCAGCTGCAAGCTGGCATATCAGATGGCGTCACGGTTTGACGTACCTGCGTAGTATGGGGCTAGCCCAGATTGATTAAAATTATATAGGTTTCTTGGTCCAGGGTCTTTCATCTTTCCAAGCTGCCTGCGCGCAGGTTTGGTGGTGGGAGAGATCTGGACGTGTGATGTTAATTTTACCTGTGATCCTCTGAATAAACCATATATATATTTTTGTAAATAAACCAGCACTAAAATCAAGAAAGACGGACTCCTTTTTTACTCAGATCTGTTCAGTAAAAGAACTGGGGTATAACAGTATCCAATCATTCTGAAATTGTAAAGAATTTTACTCAGTACAGACATCACAGGTAAATGAGTGTAATATTTCCAACTCAAAATATTTTTCAACAAGGAAACCATAACACAACCATCAACCTAAATTGTACACACCTGTTTCTTTTTAAGAATCCATGTGATGAAGTCTATATCAGTGTTTTAGCTCAGCAAGCTTTTTAAATACTTGTTAGTGGACCTGACAGAGCTGAACTGACCATCTGCGACCGTGCAGTGTATTACATGCTGCAAGAGGATGTAATTCCTGTTCTGATGGTGCCTCAGCAATGTGTGACCATGATGTTGGTGAGATTAGGATGTAACCTTTCTTTGCTTCAAACCTTATTAACATGTAGGGCTAAAAACCGAAAAATGATATTGGCCAAAGCCAGTTTAATAATCTGAAATGGCTCAGGTTTTAACAAACCCTCCATCTCGTCCATGCGCTCTGCCTCACAGGCAGCCGCAGAGCTGTATGCTGAGCCAGCGGTCAGCTTTACCCTGATCCTCTTCTCCCCATGTGCAGCAGGCTGGACTGCTCATTAGCCACCTCACTGACACGCTGGCACGTCAGTGTGTTGGCAGCTCTTCTTCGGTCTCGTAGTCTGCCCATCCGTTCCCACAAGAAACACTACTTTTATTGCAGAAAGCTGAAGATTGTAAATTAATACTAGAAAATTGGATGCTGAGCGCTGAAAAATATCCCTGAAAATGCTGAACATTTTGACACCTGAATGCTTTTGCTAGCTGAAATTATGCTGAAGTAGAATTTTCCCATTCATTTGAATGGGTCAAGATTTTCAAAATAAAGCTAAATATTTCAAAAGTATGAAGTTTAGAAAACTTCTGAATAGACGCATGAATGTCCTTGAAGAGCTGAACATTTTGATAGCTGAAAGTATGCTGAAGAAGAATTTTCCCATTCATTTGAATGGGTCAAGATTTTCAAAATAAAGCTAAATATTTCAAAAGTAAGTAAAAGTAAGTTTAGAAAACTTCTGAAGAGAAGCATGAATGTCCTTGAAGAGCTGAACATTTTGATAGCTGAAAGTATGCTGAAGTAGAAGTTTCCCATTCATTTGAATGGGACAAGATTTTCAAAATAAAGCTGACTCAACAGAACCACATCAATCAGTTGCCTAGCAACCAATTTTGACAGATGCTATGTTTTAATGCTCTCTTATAGCTCTTTTTTCTGTCTTTTGCAGGTGTAACAATTGTTTCAAAGTTAGAAATGTGTAATTAAGTTGTCATTTACAGGGCAGAAATTTATGGGCCTGTCTTCAGATTAAATTTTCTACATTACATTTTCGTCACTGTGAGCTGTCCAGAGGCAACCAAGGTACCTAAACACCACATATCACGGTAGTATTTGTGTAACCAGATGTTGCATAAGTGTTGCACAATGAACAGTGTGAAAGAGCACAGATAAAAAAGATACACCTGCTTCAGTAGAGGTTCTTACAAAATAATAATGACCCTACAAGGCCAACTACTGTTCCTTTTGGTACAACTTTATACTGTAAGCACATTGCCTGATAATATTTGTTCTAAAACCTTTTGTCTCTCTCTGTTCCCTCTAATGCTTCTGGTTTCAGGAAATCCTGATGTCCTCAAAATACACCAAAGATAAACTCTTTTGCAAAAAACTCTTCAAGTTGTTTGGTCAAAGGTAATTTATCAGACTGTAGGATTAGCTACTGGTACAAAGTGCAGGACCATGTCATCAGACTGGTAATTTGTTATACTATCAATATGTTGAATTCTTAAACTAACAATACAGAGTAAAACCTGCCTTAAACTGTGGTGTCAACTCAAGTAATTTTGTCATTTTAGTACTGTCAAGTCAACTTTTGAGCACCAGGCAATGACTTTGCCTGTTTCACTTTACACATTTGTTATGTCAGACCTTATTTGACATTTACAAAGCATTGTGTTCCATGCCTCTCTCTAAGGTTCCTAGGTAATGGCTTGTTATCGGCACACAACCACGAGCAGTGGTATAAACAGCGCCGGATCATGAACCCTGCATTCAGCAGCTTGTGAGTTATTAACTTTTCAAAAAGAGGCAAAGTGAAGTTGCTCAGCCTCTTTTTATTGATACTGTTCACAGTTATTGTCAATCCTCTTCAGATTGTTCATACTTTTCATCAGTTTCTTATTTACAGATTTCCTGTGAAGCTGTGCAGGTATGTCCACACCATGCTACTCCACTGTTTCAAACTATCATTATTTCCAGGTATTTGAGAGGTCTAATGGGCACCTTCAATGAGAGGGCAGAGAATCTGATGAGTAAACTTGTAGATATTGCCGACAGCAAAAGAGAGACCAGCATGCTTCACCTATTCAGCTGTGTTACCCTTGATGTCATTGCTAAGGTACTGTGCCACTGTTTTCCAGTTTCCTCTGCAGTTGGTTTTTACTGAATATAGAGAGAGCAGAGACTTAACACAAAAGTTCATTTAATGAGGTTATAACTATCCTAGTACATATGAATGTATGATGCTTACTCGATAATTCTCAGGTTGCTTTTGGTGTGGACTTAGACCTGCTGAAGACTAGTACACCTTTCCCTAAAGCCATTGAGACATGTCTAAAGGGGATGCTGTGCAATTTTCGAGACGGCTTTTTTCAGGTATGACTTGACAGCAACAGTGTATGGAGTTAATTCCGTGAACATTCTGTAAACTGTCTAACATCTTAAAAACTTTCATTCCCAGTTCAATCCAAAGAACAGACCATTCATTAAAGAAGTGAGGGAAGCGTGCCGCCTGCTGCGCACAACTGGGGCTCAGTGGATCCATGAAAGAAAGACTGCCATGGAAAATGGCGATGACATTCCTAAGGACATCCTCACACAAATTATCAAATCTGCTGGCCAAGGTTACCGTCCCTAAAGTCCAGCAAACAGTAATCTTCCATATATTAGTTTATATGTTAATACCATTTCCTTCTCATTCCAGAGGACAGCATGACTAAAGAAGATGAGGAGTTCATGTTGGACAACTTTGTGACATTCTTCATTGCTGGCAAGTCTCTGTTATGTCTGTGGTGATGTGTGAAATGCTTCAAAATAAACATGTTACTCTACTTCCTTTATAGCAGAAAGTCATACTAACAAAGTAAAAGGAACATTTCACCCAAAAGTTCAATAATGTGTGGGCTATCCATCAGTTTCACTGTGAATTCTGCACATATGCAGCTCGCCACGGTGTGGGTGATTTTAATATCTTTCAAGAGTGATGACAGTTTTTTACAATAATGTATACATTACAATGTTAACTGTTGTTCCATCCATATGGACATAAACTACGTTTCCTTACAATTTCCAGGCCTTTTCTTCAGAATTTTGCTCTATTTGAAATCAATGTCATGATTAATTTTGGCATTTATAACATTTTAGGACAAGAGACAACAGCTAATCAACTGGCTTTTTGCATCATGGAACTTGCAAGACATCCTACTATACTTGAGAAGTAAGAACTCAGAATGCAGCAAAATAAAACTTTCACAATAAATCTGTCGAAGGATGTTTTTTTTAAATTGTGGGGTTTTTGTCAGAGTGAGGCAAGAGGTGGATGATGTCATCGGGATGAAACAGGACATAAGCTATGATGACCTGGGTCAGCTGATCTATCTCTCACAGGTACAAGTCTTGACACTAGGAT